CAAACAAGGAATCTGAAGTAGAGAGAGTGGGGGTTAGAAATGAGACCCCCCCTGGAGGACAGTTCTACATGATCCCAGCCACACGATGCAGTGCTATCAGCAACCAGCAGGCTGCATGGCTGGCTGGTGAGTTATTGCCCGGTCACCAGTCCTCCTTTCTGTAGCATCCTGCATGTGTAGGTGATAAATCTTAGAGACCCGAGGGAACACAAAAGGCTTCTATCCTCTGCCACATTATTTTTCTTCTACATCATTTAGGAGAGTGTAGGTGTAGACCTTTTTAATTTTTTTTAAATATTGAAACATGAATTTTTATTTTCAGCTCCACGTCACATTTCCTCCTGTGTGTTCAATTTTCACAACTGGGTGTTTTTAAAGCCCACCTCAATAGAAAATGAGAGAACAGAAACCTAAAGTAGGATACAAGAAAGATGAGACAAATTCATGCATTTGCTCTCTCTACAAATATCATTGTGGAGGTCCAGGTAAGTCACACACAGCTTCTGCTTGCAAAAGGAGCAGAAGAGAAGGGAACCTGCTTCTACTAAGAACACGCTTTGGACCAAGTTCTAACCTATGATCTTCAAAGGCTAAGGCATGTGATGAAGGTCAAACACACTAAACTGTGAGTCGGGGTTCTTGGGTTCAAATACCATTTGATGCACTTAGGTCTCTTGGGCAGATGACTCAGTTTCTTCCTCTCTTAAAATAGGCATAATGCTAATCCCTATGCATAGAATTTTTGTTGTTGTTTAGGTGAAATTCATATAACCTCTTATTATAAGTTTTTAAAAATACAATTAGGTAGCATTTAGTACATTCAGAATGTTGTTCAACATCACCTTTATTACTTCCAAAACATTTTCACTACCCTAAAAGGAAATTCTTTTCACATTGAGCCATCATTTCCCATTTTCCCCCACCCCAATGTCATTCAAACGTTACTCTACTTTCTCTATATAGATTTGCTTCTTCTGGATGTTTCATATAAATCCCATCATACAAAATATGACTTTTTGCATCAGGCTTCTCTCACTATCATGGCTTATATCCAGTTGACTCCTTAAAGCCTCATATGCTCATAGATGGGGCTTTTTGGAGCTGGCTGGATCTAGGGTGTGTGACACTGGGATTAAGCATATGTGGTACTAAATTAGCCAACTGATTAGTTTAGCCTAGTTCTAGGTGTGAGTAATAAAAAAGGCCCACCTTGAGTGTGAGTTGTACCACCCAGAAGGCTGATAATCTAGATTGGATAAAAGGGAAAGACAGGCTTGAGGATAAAAGGGAAAGAGAGGCTTGAGGATTGCTGTTCACTGTCTTCTGCTTGCCCTGCCATGGACTGTTTCTCCTCTGTGAAATAGGCCTTCAAATTTCAGAAATATGCCTTCACAGCATGCCTCTGTGCCATGCTTCCCTGCCATGAAATCAGGCAACTACAGCCTGAAACATCTGCAAACTGTGAGCTAAATAAACCCTTCCTCATTTAACTTTGGTCCTCAGTTATTTCGTCTCAGCAGTGATAAAAGTAACTAAGACACTCACCATCATGTTTCTTAGTTCATCAGTACTGTAGTATATATAGTACTTTATTTCATTGTATGACTGAGTAATATTCCATTCTATAGATGTACCACATTCTATTTATCTAGTCATCTGTTGATAGCTGTTTGGGTGTTTTCCCCGCTTCAGCTATCACGAATACTGCTATTGTGAACATTATTGCACGTGTATTTGAATTCCTCATTGAAATTCTTTTGGAGATGGCTGTGATTTGAATATAGTTTGTCCCCTCTAAAATTTATGTTGGAGTATAACACCTATTGCAAGGTATTGAGAGAGGAGAAACTTAATCCAACTGTAGTGTGTTATAAGTAGGGGCTTTGTGAAGTGATTAGGTTAGATAAAGCCATCAGGGCAGAGATCTTATGATTGACTACTGCTGATTTTATAAGAAGAGAGGGACCAAAACACACACTCTCTCTCTCCCTCCCCCCTCTTTCCCTCCCTCTACCTTTCCCTTCCTTTTCCCTCCCCTTCCCCCACTCCTTCTTTCTCCCTCTCCTACTCTTTCTCACTCTTGTCCTCTCCCTTTTCTCTCCTTTTCCCTCTCCCTCACCCACTTTCCCTCCCTCTTTCTCTACACCTCCACAATGTGATGCCCTGTGCCATGGCAGGGACTCTGTCACCAAATGCAGCCCCTTGACCTTGGGCCACCACAACCATTAGACAAAGTAAACTTTTCTCTAAAACTTGCCCAGTCTGTGTAACTGTGCCTTTTGCAACAGAAAACACACTAGTAGAGGTAATGTTCAGCCAAGTCTCATTATTTCCAGTAGTTATGTTCCATAAAGTCACTGAAAACTCTGAATTACCAAGTACTAAATCCTAGTTCCTTCACCAAAACATATGTCTCCATATCTTATGGAGATTGTTACCCTAAATCCAAAAAGTCATCCTGATAGAACCTACATTATTTTATAAAAGAGAAAACAAGATTCAGAAGTATTTGAATGATATTCTTGAGGGCACCTCACCAACAGATACCAGGAGTGGGGTTTAAATACTACCCAGCTGGTCCCAGCACTGGTTTTTTGCACTACCTACATTATTCCCTATATCCTCTGCTCATTTTGAGACCTGAAATATGAAAGCAGACCTGCACCTTGGATCTCAACTACGAACATGTGTGTCAGGCAATTCAATCCTTGTGTCACTGTGTACATCCATGAGAATAGCTCCCAAGGCATCACAAACATTGACTTGGGGATTGCAGATGATTTTTATGGATGAAGTTGCTAATACAGAATTCAGGTATAAGGGGAATCACTGTTCCTAGGAATACAGTTATTCTGTCATATGGTGATACTATGTTTAACTTTCTGAAGACTGGCCAACCTATTTTCCACAGAGGTTGCACCATTTTATGACCTCACAATATGACAGATAAATAAGTTGATAATTGTTGGGCACTTAGAGCAGTGTTGGGAAATAGTGTTAGCTATTGTTAATTAAATTAATTATTTAGGTAATGTTGCCAGTGTTAGCTGCCAACTTCAATTCTTTGCCACTCACAGGAGAGAGCAGCTCACAGTGAGATCATGTAGGTAAAGTAAGGATGCCAATAGGTCTAATTCAAAAGAGAAAATGTTAAATATTCTGCCACACCAATATGACACAAATCCAGAGAAGAATGTGTCACTTATTTTCACACTTACACACTCATACCCAGTGCCAGCCACACAGTGCCTACTCAAGAAGTGAATATATCACCTGTTTAAAATTTCATCATTTTCTTTATGATGTACTTGAACAGGTTCATTGCAGAAATTTAGGGGAACATACACAAGTAGAACACAATAATGTGACTTACATATAACGCCACACTCTTGCTTCCCCATTTTACTTCCTTTCTCTGTTTCATGAAATTAAGAGGGTACCATTTGCAGTTTTCAACCTATATATTCCACACAGCATTCTATTAGTATGAAACTTCATATCCCCAAAGAGTCCTGAGAATCCTGATTTCAAATCCTGCACGGGGTTTCATTGTGTATCTATATCATACTTTAAATATTCTCCCATTGATGAGAACTGGCTCCAGATTTGTATTATTATTATTAACAACACAAAAATTAAAAGACCTTATGCTTAAAGATGTATACAAATCAGTGGTTATTTCCACAAATAGAATCAAATGTACCTGCTTAATCAAAATTTTATTTTTTTAAATTTTTTTTGCATAGCACTACTTTTGTGGGGAAGTAGTTTTCTGATGGGGTGGGGTTGGCTCTGTGTGTGTGTGTATTTTAAGTTTTTCAAATTTTATTTTACCCAGTCTAGAACAGGTTTCCCTGTTATACCTACATTTAGTGCATACCTTTATTTTCCTAACAGCTCTTATCTTTGTTTGTCATTCTGCATTCACTAGTGAAACTATTTGATTGATGCTTTTCTTCCCCAATCCCCAAAGATAGTAACTGGGCTTGTGCATATTTCTAGGCCTCAACATGCAATAGTGATATACAGTATGCTCAGGTAACATTAGAGGCATTCATGGATGAATTTCATCAACTTTTTAACAATTGTCACTGTATTACTACAGATGAAAATGCATTGTAATCAGCCATCCCCTTTGCCTGAAGCAACCTCACTTTGCCCCTTTGTAGGGTAGATAGTATGCTAGAAAAATAAAGTTGTTGCTTTGATCAGTGAAAACTGATGTCCGATTTATTTTATTTCATTTTATTTTATTTTATGTTTCCTTGATTCCTAGGGACATTAAAAGTTTTCCACTTCTTTTTTAAATATTTGCACTGGATATTAATTTCTTTGCTAAATACTATTTCACATCCTTGCCCAATTTATTTTGGTTTTCTGCCCAATTTATGTACCACAAGTGTGTGAACATTGACAAGAGTATTTCTATAATGGGCCCCACTTTCCCTTAACATTTTTATTGTCTTTCATGAAAACCCTCCTTTAGCTGCACATGCATAGGATGCAAGCATAATTTTTCATGGGGTTGGCATAGGGAGGTTCTATCAATCTCCTCTCTGTTTCTCAATTATTCATTCCATAGTGGGGGACCAGCTAAGAGAACACACACAAGTGGTATTCTGCAATCCTTGGAGAGTCACACTCTTGGGTTGAAAAGGATAAAGTTGGAAGGAGAAGGCTAACTGCACCCAGCCATGACAGACTCCAGTCTGATCTGGGTTCAAATCCCACCTGCACCTCTCATGAGCTGCAAGACTTAAACTAAGGCTGGCCATCTCTCAGCACTTGATTCTCTTCATTTGAAAAATGTAGGATAATATTAGCAGGCAATTCACAAGCTGTTATGAAAATTACCTGAGATAAGATAGGAAAAATAAGGGAAGGCAGGGAAGGGATGGAGAGAGGGAGAGAAGATGGGAGAGAGAGCTTATTTCCCTCTTGGTTGGTGTGAAGGCTCTTTGTTTAAACACTGTGCTCACCAAGCACCTGTCCTCGCTTCCAGGGCAGTCTGTAATCCATCACTGTTGCCTTCCTTGGAAGCTCTTATGGGAGTTTTAACAGGCTCTGTTCTCTGTTGGCTGGAAGCTGATGGAAGAACTCTCCTTGTCTTCAATATTAGAACTTGTAGAAAATCGATGCGAGAGTATAACATCCTTCACCATCATACTTGATAATAAAGCCTAAGTTGAAAATGAGCACAATGGTGAGTCTTAGAAAGCAACCCCATATATCTAGGAGCGAGTTGCCCCCATTGATCAAGGCATATAAAGAAGAAGGTGATACGTGTCAGCTCTCATTAAAAATGGAAAAATTTTCCGCAACCTCTAACTTGAAAAACTGGCAATGTACAGGGCAAAAGTATAGGATTTGCCTGGATTTGGCTTTTGCTTTTCTTTCTTCTTGCATCTTTAAGAAACCTGCTATAAAGACAGTGCTCTTAATGCCAGCAGAAGGCCATACAGTTCTGAGCCTTTTATAAATGGCATTTGTCCGATAGTATGATTTACTAAGCATGATTGAAAACAACAATCAGGCCAAAAGTGATACCCAGGAAAAAAAAAAAAAAATACAACAACAAAAGCATTAAGAAACGAGACAGCTTTCCAAGGCAATGAAAACTTATCCAAAAGGAAATATATCACTCAAATATTTACAAAATTGCTGGTGCAATTCAGCCTTCTCAGTAGCAACGATTTTTATGTCCTAAAGAGAGTTTGTATCTAGAGGTAATTGTGTTCTGTAGCAGTTCGTAAGCCTGGGCATTTATGCTGGCAATTCCAGATTTATAGGAATAGAAGAAATTTCCGTGCATGATATACTGTACAAATTGTATGTAATAACCACAATAAAAAATTTCATTAGGCCTGCTATCACCAACCACCAATTCCCTGGGGAGAATTTATGTGCAAACTTCAGTTCCGCTTACCATCTGGGATATTCTTGGGAGGATGGGTAGCCCTGGGTTCCCCAGGAAAGATGAGAGGGCGCATATATCCTCTTCGTCTCTTGTCTTGAGGACTAGAATTTTAGAGAAAGAAGGCCTTTGTGTCTGGGAGAGCAGCAATCCACACATACCTTTCTGCATATTTTCTCCCATCTCCTACCTAGCCCAAGATCATTTTAGCAGCTGTCCTTAAATTTTGCAGCTCTCAAATCTGAGCACTAAGTCCTGTTGCATATTTTATGCAGCCCATCACTGAGATGCGGATGCAGATTTCCATAGTTATAGGAGAGGAAGCAGAAATGGAAAAGACAAATTGGGTCATCTTATAGTTTGCAGCTGTGAAATCCATTTCAAAATTGCATCTTGCAGGCCTGAGAGGCTTCCCTGGACTCGATGGAGATATTATCGTGGTGTCACCAAGGAATAGCATTCAGGCCTGGCTATGCTTCTGGGCGAGCAGCATATGTCCCTATAAAAGCCTCCGCTTTATCACCAGAGCTTCTGTGCATATGCTGCAAACAGAGACAACCTGGATCTTGCCTTTGGTGAGGGATCAGGAAATTAAACATTTCAGCACTACCACTACTTTTCAAAATGGAAAATGATATTTAATAAGCAGGGCCTATTCCCCATAGCATCACCTACCAGGCCTCCCCTCTGCTGCTGAGCCTTACTGGTGGGCACACACCAGGGTTTAGCATCGTCCAGCTGCTGAGCCTACAGAGTGGGACAAGCATATCTCTAGTTTGTCCTTGATGGGCTCAAGATTGGGAAGGGTGGTGAGGACTGGGGCTTTGTGAAAGCAATGGGACTCTTCTCATAGTCTGATAACAGTCAGTCAGCTCCATCCAACTGTTACAATTTGTTTACCAGGCCCTAGGTCCTTATATATAATTATCACTATGCACATATGACCTCAAAGCCAGCTAGGAGCCCATATGGTAAATATGGTCCACCTACTTTCAAAGCCAGGAACCCAAAGTTTAAAAGATTCCTGAAGATTATTGAGTGTTTACTTTAAGCTAGGTGCTATCCTGGGTGGGAGGGGTACAGATATAGCCAGGAAAGGACCTCAAAGCATAACCAGTGTAATGATATCAGATGTAAGCATCCCCCAAATCAGAAACTATAAACATGCATTATCATTTATAGATTCTATTTACATGGCACTACTTTATGTTGTGCACTATATGGGAGCTTTTCATTCCTCTCCATTCTGTACCCGCACAACTTCACAGTTCTTATCTCCATTTTGCAAATAACCAAGCCAAGACTCAAGATGCTTCTGTGGCTTGACAAATGTCACAGTGCTAGAAAGGGACAAGGGCATGATTTGAAGCTCAGACTCCCAGCAGGACATTCCTTCCTATGCCGTCTCAAATAGTCTTCTTCTCTTGGTGTGTCAAGGTCCAGCTTTGATTGGGATGGACCATGAAGATTTGAAAATAGTATAAAAACAATATTTCTTTTTGGGAAAAGCCATAAATTCCTCAGTGCTGAAGCCACATGAAGAAAAGATGACAAAGATTCTGGCATCAAATGGCCTGGCTTCCAATCTGAACTCTGCTGTGTGTCATTGTGCAAGTTATTTGATTTCTCTGGATTTTATTTCCTGTCCACAGAATAAAATTAATGACAGCTTTTAGTACTACCATGTGTGTTTGATGTACATTTTTGATACACAACAATGTAAATTATTTTGAAACCTATTAATTTTGGTTAACCAAGAGGCTTTTGACTTCTGGAAACAGAACTAACATTTAAAGGTCCAACCTAAACAATAACAACAAAAAATGGCTTTCTACTACAGCCCTAAAACATTAAATATGAGTGAAGAGAAACAGAGACAAATTGGATTTCTCAGAAGCTCAATCAAATATGAGGTTTATTTACCAGGAATCTGAGCATGTTCAGTGTATAATGAAAATACTTCTCTAAATACAGAACTTGGTTTTAATTCAGCTCGCAGCTGTTTACAGAGCACCTGCCACTATCTGAATCATGATGCACTTTGAGGAAAATAAAAGTGAAATAAGATACTGCCCCCTTCCTGTTTAATGAGGCTCACCGTCAAGGAGAGAGGACATAAACATCATGAGTCATCAGAGCCTAGGCAGCATGGGCTTGGCCAAGAGAAAGCCCAGGTTGTCCTTGAAGAAGGGGAGTGTGTAAACCAAGGTAACACTAGGGGACAGAGGAGGAAAAGTGGGCGGAGGTCATTATCTCAGTTGCAAATTTAGAGAGACATATTGGGGATAAAACCCAAAAGGCACTGAAGGGCATGCTGAAAGATTTCAGTTTCATCCTGTAGATGAATATGGTTAAAGAGTTGAAGTGCTTCATACTCTATGTATCGAAAGTACAGAATATTCACTAAGATTCCATTGCAAGTGGTAAGAAACTTAGCCAAGAAGAAAGAGAATGAAGAGAGAGCCAAGGAGATCAAGGGAAAGAGAAAGAGGATAACAGGAGATGAACGAGGAAGAGGAGGAGGGGGGGAGGAGGAGGAGGAGGGAGGGAAGAGGAGGAGGGGAGGAGGAGGAGAAGAAGAAAGAGAAGAAGAAGGAGATGAGGAAGAAGGAAAAGAAGGGGAAGGAGGAGAAGTAGGAGAAGGAGGGGAGGGGAAGGAGGAAGGGAAAGGGAAGAGAAGAGAAGGAGTAGGAGAAAAAGAAGAGGGAGGAGAAGGGGAAAGGGAAGGCAAAGGTGGAGTGGAGGAGAAATAAGAAGAGGACAAGTAGGAGGAAGAGAAGGAAGTCATTGATTAATATTAGTGAAATCTGATCCAAAGCAAAAGAATTCCAAAGCAAAAGTATCCTGAATTATTAAATAATATCATCATGAATCTGTCCCTCTTCATATTTCTGTTCTTGCTTCCCTGGGTGGTTTTTATTCCCAGAAGAGATTTTCCCAAGTGGTGGTCAACATGGCCACCAGTCTTTCTATGCTCACGTGAGGTCTTGGCTCTTCTCTTATTGAGGAGACACAATACTGGACACCTTAGGGACTTCTCTTCAAAGAGAAGTTTATTTTAGCTCACTCTTCAGTCCATAGCTAACTGGCTCCAAGGCAAAACAGCATGGCACAGAAGAACTGCTCACAGCATGCTAGAGAGTAGGCGGAGTGCAAAAGGCGGATCTGGGGAGGGAGATAAACTCTTCTAAGCCACACGCCCAGTGACCATCTCTTCTGATCAGGCTCAAGCTCCTGACAGCAAGTCACCTAAAAGCCCCGTCATCCAATATCTGCTTGGTATTGATTCTCACTCCCTGGCTTGGATCATGTGTCTATTTTTGAACCAAAATTCAAGGGTGAAGATCTGAATGTTTTGCTTGTTCAATATAGGGCCATGTGATCAGCTTTAAAATGGAAAAGGAGAAATAGCTGTTTGTTGTTTACCAACCACATAGAAAAGGAGTGGCAGGAACCCAGTTCTACAAAGAGGAAATGCATGAAAGTGTATGGATTAGATAAGATGGGTTAGGCTTCTGTACCAAATAACCTCACAATCTAAGTTAGGAAAAGCACAACTCTTGTTTTTCATCACACTGCGTATTCACTGTGGTCAGAATGTAGAGGGGCTGCCTTGCATGAACTTCACACAAGCCTGAGGAGAATATCCTTCCGACACACCAAGTGTGCTGAGCTAGGAAAAGTGAGTGAGGTGAGTTTCACACTGGCTGCTGAACGTTTCTCTTTGAGAGCCATACACACCACTCTTCAGTTTCTCTCCAAGGCAAGTCTCCAGGCCACATCTAAGTTCATAGGGAAGTAAAGTTCATCCAGGAGTGGAGAAAGATTGGAAATCTTTTGCTAAACAGCATTAAAGTGAACAAAGGCAAAGATAGAGGGAGTGAGGGAGGGAAAGAGAGAGAGAGAGGGAACACATGAAGTACAACTGAAAATACAGTGTGTAAATTTTTTTAAAAGACATCTCGGCTTGGATCATTTGGCTGTTTCTGAGTCAAAATCATTACAGTAAAAGACATCTTTCCCTTAATCACCCTCAACATGCTCCCCTTACCTTAAACACATTTATCTCATCGTTCTTGTCACTTTCTGAAGCAGTTCTGGAAGTCTTCTTTCCCGAGTGTCTTCAGTTGTGCCTTGAAGAGATGACCCTGTCGTCCTTTTCAGCTTATTCATACCTTGACAGTGTGAGTCTACTGACAACATAAAACTTCATCCGACAACATAGAAATTCATCAGATTATTGGAACTTTTTGAGCAACTTTACTTTAGAGAGACAAGAATATTGCAGCAATGATTCATTAAGAAAAAGCAATTAACTAGGAAAATTTCCCTCTCTAAAAATAACATGAATAATAGCAACAACAAGTTGATTCTCTTTCTGAGAAACAAAATTTGCTTACCACAGTAAACAAGAAGAGAAAGAAAACAAAATTCATTTGACATTAGATTTGTTTTGAAAATCTTATGTTCTGTCTCCACTTCAGAGCTATTTAAATGTAAGCATTGCATACTGTTCTTTATCTCATCAACCATAGTGAAATAGAGAGAGGGTGAGTGAATACTCACCTTGAAGATTGTGAAATTCATTTTCACTAGAAACTTTTCTAGTAGATAAAACTACTTCATCCTTAATCTGCTTAGGACCCTATAATTTAAATAATGATATTAAAGTTGGAAATAGCTTTCATGTCTTTGCAATTCTTAATACGTTAGTGACATACAGTTAAGAAATCAGATCGAAATGTATACATGACAAGTTTTATCAGTTGAAGTACTCTGTAAGGCCTTCAGATCTTCCTTTCAGTCCTACTTTTAACTTGCAGTCAGGATCCTCACCCACAGAGTCTATACAATGATACATTACAGTCACACTGCAGCCCATCAAGGAAGACTCTATTTCCTGTCTGAGTCCTGCTGTTTCCTGTAAAATTCCACACTAAGTCTTGGCAGAGTCCTTTGGAACTACAAAATCCAAAATGGTGCTCCATCCATCACACTCTTTACCCCTATCTCCTGGAAAGTCATCGAAATAACTATAGAAATCTGTAACCACCGTAGGGTAAATGAGACCCCGGGGGCTGAGCTATGCTTAATTTGCCCAAACAGAAACAGGCACTCCTGGTGTTATCTTGGACACCCTTCTGTGGGGCAGGGAAGATGGTTTTGGTTTCCCCATGAAGAAGTCAACCGTATTCCCATTACTCTGCAGCTCAACCACCATGAGTTCCAGCCCATTTGAGACCCCAATCTCTGGCATCTAATTCACGTTTCAGTGCTGACCGTGACTTCAAATACAGCTGACCTACAGTGGTGCTCAAGTTCAAAGATCCTACTGAGTAGCTGCTTTGCCTTTGTCAGTGAATAAATGAATGACTTGGAGGATGAACACTACTGGGATGAGTGAGTAGGTGTGAATGAGCAAGTACTTAAGTAAGAGAGTGTGCATCTGTGATGTATACGTGCATGGAAACATCACAGTGAATCCCACTGACTTGTACAAGCAATTTGGATTGACAATTATTATCTCTTTAGAGAGTGTGTCTGTGTGAAGGATTGAGCAAGCTTTGATCCAGGCACACCAGTTCAACACTCCATAGGATTCCAGCCTCACTTCTTAGACCATTTGCTTCTACCCTACTTCTATTATTTTCATCTGGCTTCCATATTTCCTGTGATTCCTTTACTAGCTTTATTGAGGCCCCAACCTGCTGTTTGCACTCTTGAGCCCAACTGTGCTCTGGTCAGCAATGGCAGAACCCTAGGTCTAATGGCAGCATGCTGCCCCTCTCTGGAAGAAATTCATACTACAGGCAGTCTCCAAAATGATTTGCTTGTTAATTAACTCTTTAGGTTATAACAACTTTCCCTTGGTAGAAAGGATCTCTTGAGTGAGCCTGGTATTTTTCTTGGTGGTGGTGGGGGTGCCAGGAATCAAACTCAAGACCTTCCACTTACAAGGCAGGCACTTGTGCTGCTGAGCTATATCCCTGGCCCAAGTCTGGTATTAAAGGGCAGTAAATTGTAAGATGAAGACTTAATGAACCGAGGAGGGCTATAGTTGGGGAGATAAGCCAGCCCTTTATGTTTGGGGGTCTGAATGCAGGGGAGGAATCAGATCAAATAAAAGCTAAACCTAGGACTTTAAATCAGTGGTTCATTTCTGCTCACTTCTCCTGTTAAAATACTGAGGCAGGAAAGGTCAAAACAAAGTTTCTAAATATTAATACTAAAGGCTGAAGCTTGACAAACTCGTGCTGGAAGGAATGTGGCTGGACCTCTAGGGCCCTGACATACTCAATAAGATGCTCCAATTGCCCCTCCCTTGACAGGTACTGGCCATTTTATAAAAGTAACAACATCAAGCATTTTATCAAAGTGAGCATTTTCAGTGGTATAGTGCCTGCCTGACAGCCGTGCAACCCTGAGTTCAATTCCTGGTACCAAAGGAAAAATGTAGTGAACATTTTATGAAAATAACAACTATTTCATGTAAGTGACTTCACAGGTCTTCCAGCCAGCCAATGGGGAACAACTGTTGTTTCATTTTCAGATGAGAACATGGTAGTTTTAAAGATGTTAGAAAGTTATCCAATTTCACACTTTTAGCAAATGACAGCACGGAGGGTCAAACTAGTTCTGTCTAGCCCAAAACTTGGTCTTTAATCTGTAATTATGGAAAACATGGTACTATTTAAACAAGACCTCAAATCTTGAGGCACCACTGGCATATCCCTATTTTTCCCTTTTGTTGAAAATAAAATGACCTAATTTGAAGGTCTACTGCTCTACCATAGAGAGGGATAAAACCTGTCTGACCTTGGAAAGATAAACTGCACATTTGCACATAGAGAAGATATTATACAAAAATAAAGTTAAGGAGAAAACCTGTAACCTCTCTGATTATGGACCTTGCATTTAGAATCACGCTTGCTTGCTGTTTTCTATTTAAATCTCACTTCTTTGTCTCAGAGGAGGAAATGACTCACTTTTTACTTCCAAAACAAGGTGAAGAAAAGTTGTGTTTAGTGTCAAGTTGGACTCTTGACTTCTACCCTGGGAGAGATAATAAACAAGATAAAAATCACCGTGCATTTACTGAACAGATGCAAAGTTTTTTTAAATGGGATCTAACTCTGGGCTACGGCATATTCCCAATGCCAATAAGCTGCAACACATACCGGGTCTACACAGCCCGGACTATCAAAGATTACTGTCCGCAGATGTCGCTAGTGAGGCTGGGAGTGCTCAACCCAGTCTCTGATTGACAATGAAAAAAGACAGGAGCCTGTTGCTTTAGCTCTGTCTTCATGTTCTGCACTGTCATTTCATCATAATTTGAAAAAAAAATAATCACTTTGCCAAATTGGGATTTTTCTACCCTATGCAGACCTGAAAACAACTTTATTCACTGTATGAGAAGCAGTATTTTCAGCCAAGGTATTTAGCAAGTAACTTGTTCTATAAATATTGAATCCTTGGCCAATTTTTTTCTAGATTCCTAAGAGCTGGCTTTAGGAAAGACAAGGGAAATAAAATGAGGAAATTCAGGGAAAATAATTTTGAATTACTGTCTTTGGCATTTGGCAAATGAATACCCTTGGGATGATGACTTGGCTACCTGTGAGGAAGGAGCTGTTGGGGCACCTTTATGAGCATTTCAGGAACTGGGGGGGTGCAGCCAATTTCCTTCCTGCATGAGTTTATCCAACTTCTGCCTTTAATATTTAGAAACTTTGTTTTGAACTTTCCAGGCTCTATGTTTTAATAGGAGATGTAAGCAGTGATGAGCACAGATTTATAGTCCCTGGTCTATTCCCCAGAAGTATTTAGATGCTCTGGCAGTACCTTAAAACACCCTAGTCTTTTTATAGGGTATGTTGCCAGGCAGCCTATCGATTCACTCCCACAGCCCCATTCTTGGGTGGTGTTCACTGGGAGTTTGCTTTCTGTCTTGAGCATTCTAACATAAAACCCACCTAAGAAATTAAGAAGGCTTACAGGGTTTTGTGTTACTGTTCTCACTTGCTAACCAATATACCAGACTTCACACATGAAAGAAGAGATGGGAATGCAAACATAATCTCACTATTTCAAGAAGTTCCAAAAAAGTGTTGTCTGGCTTGATAAGACTAGTATTTATATATTTGACTTTTTTGCTTATTTTTTGTTTCATTGTTTTTAGATAGACAGTCAGAACTATCCTATCTCAGGGCTACTTAAATCGCATCCAGGCCTTTCCTGTCTTTGCTAGGAGCAGCAGACCGCTACTTGACTTTCCTGTACAAGACCCACATCAAGAAGCTGGGAACTTCCGGTCAATCATATCATTCTCTAGAAATAGGTATGGTCTGATCCTTTGAAAACGCTTTCTTCTACTGTTCTTTGGAGTGAGGAAAAAAGAGAAAGAGAGGAAGAAAACTGAGAAGATCTTTTCCCCAAATCATTTACTCCTTACTTCCAGTTGTATCCTGTGGAAAACTAAAACAAAATGAAGCAAAACAAAATATTCACCTTACCTATACATAATTTCCTTTCAGCTAGCTAAAGAGTTCAGTCAGGCTCCATTCCTTAGTCTTTGTTCTTTCTTACTCTAAGAATCTGAGGCTTCTTGGACCATGAAAAACAAATAGCTTGCTTGGGGGCCACAGAAGTGGTTTAGATTTTGTTTATTTCATGGAAAGACTAAATTCAAATCTTATCTTTGTTGTTTACAAGGTATGAGTTTTTGGGCAAGTTAAGCAACATTTTTGCATTTTCCTGTAAAACTGAGATAAGCTGCCATGTTGGGATCATGAAGAACCAAGTGTCCAGAATTATGCTACATCAATAACTGGTAGCTAAATTAGTCAAGGTTGGCTAACTGCTGCTACAAAGCAACCCCCAAAATGTCACTGGCTCAACATAATAAAAGTTTAATGTTTTCTCACATAGCAGCCAACTGTGTTTCTGCTTGGATGAGTTCCTCCACGTGGTAAATCGACACTCAGCTTCTACAGTTTTGTTCCACTGTCCTCTGGCTCAATGTCCTCTTTTCAGTTTTCAAGGGAGAAATCAGATGAAGGCATGCACAGAGGGAGTCACAGGCCAGGCAGTAGAGCCTACACCATTTCCACCACATATCATTGCTCAGAACATGGTCAACTGGCCCCACATACCTG